CGAAATGAAATTAGAGGCTTATAGTCTAACCAGCTTCCCACCAAGTTGCCAGTGACCTTCATCTGCCCTCTCTCTAAAGTACTCTTTTGAAAAAACCTATATTCCCGCTCGCCTATGTGAAACTCTCTGCTCCAAACTTGCTCTCTCCCACTCTTTGTGAAACTCTCTACCTCAAATCTGCTCTCTTCTGCTCCTTTCTCATCTTGCGAATTGCCATACTATTTAGAGGTTTAATTGATTAGCACTCAACCTTACGGAAACCACGCCTTATAAGTATACAATCCCAAATTCATGTACCTCTCGTGTGTCGTGCTCTCCCTGCTAAGGAAATTCACCACTCAACGTCCCTCTCTCGTGACCCTCTATCTCTTTCTCTCTAAAAATTCCTTGTTTTCTCTGACCATCACGCTCTCTCTCTAAAATTCCTTGCTCTCTTTGCCCATCTTTCTCTCTCTCTATCCGACCACCCACAAATCTCTCTCTTCTCTGGCAAGCGCATTTTACTCGTCTCTCTACTGCCATCAACTACATTTAACCGCTCTAAATATCTACAAATTCATGGATTCATAGGATTATCCCCACCTGATCAGATTTAGGTTCCATTTGCCCCCAATTCATGGAGATTTAGTTCTTGTTTGCCTTTTCTGAATCATCAGGTTTTTATTTTTGAGGGATAACAACGCGCAGTAGAGTTGAACCCTATAGAGAGTCTCTGCTAACTATGGCGGTGAAAGTGGTTTTCGCATTTGTTAAATTGGCGGAGTTCGAAATTCTCTTTGTTCTCTTTTTTCTCATTGCCTATATCGTCTTCAAAGATCTAGTAAGTTATCTGTATTGCCTTACAATGATGGAATTAGTTCTCTGGTTATAGAGTTTATTGTTTTTATATCTATGTATTTACATGTGATTTCTCTGGTTATGAAATTTCTTCCTTTTATTTCTATGTATTTAGTTCTATTGGGATCTAGCTGTGACCATTTTCAAGTGTCTTGCGTTTTTCTTTTTTTGATAGTTACGGATTTTTGCTGATGATTTCCCAATGTAATTGTTCGTCCATATATTAAACATATATATTTCTTTGATTATTGTAAAGTCTAATGATTCTGTTGATGAATTAATGGAGAGATACCCTTGTAATTTATGAGAATGATTGCAAACTAATGTTTGAAATGACATCAAATTTCTTTATGTCCACTGATGAGTTGTTAGAGTTGAAGAGTTGGTTACTGTTTTTTCAGATGTGGGTAGAACTCGAATTGCTTGTCGACTATTGGGACTCTAAATATACTTAAAACATGAGGTGAAATGTGTTTTTCATCGCAGCAATGCTTAAGTTTCTTTGGATATTTTGGAAAAAATTGGGTTTTCTTGAATTGGTTTCTAATACATGTGGATATCACCTAGATATGCTATGGGTTCAGGCTTTTGCCAAATCTTCATGGGTGTGCTCTTCCTTCAACAATTATAATGCCATTGAATTAGATTATCCCTCTCTTACTTCTAGTTCTTATCCACGAGTCCCTAGAGCTCAATTGGATGCCATGATTTAGCCTATCTCATACTGAATCTAACCTGTTGTCAAGACAGAATGGTTATAGTGCTACTATTGGTGCCTTCAAGTCTACTTCAAGAAGCTTTCAATGTATTACAACCTAGCAAATCCTTCATGCTATTTAAGCATCTACTTGTGAAGTATATCATCTTATCCATCATGTTTAATAATAGATTTTGGTGCCTCAAAATTCATTTACTGGATAATTGTTGGTTTCCTGTTTCACAATTATCCCTTCTCAAGTAACCCATTTTTTATGCATTTGATTGTATTATTTTTCTTTGATTTCACCAAAAACATAATCATCCTATTCTTTTGCAAATCTCTTTCGTTTATGTTTTTTTCTTTTTTCAATTCAAGATATCACCAAATGTTGTTTCAATTGTGTAGTTGATTGATTAAACCAATATTGTTCTGCCTCTCCATGATGTTTTCTTTCTCCCAATAATTCATTGTGTACTGATGGTTTGAAGTTTTCCATCTCTGCCTTAAAAATGCGTGTGACTACAAATTTGTCAATACAAAAATGTACAAACTGAACCATATAATGTATTTCCACTGTGCCACTAAGAGTGCTTTTAAGTCCTCAAGGTAAATGCGAAAGAAATAAGCCTAGCTGTCATGCAGTCAAGCATGGAATTTACTTGCAAAGCAAGAGCTTTGGAAAGTTCTTTGATCCTGCTCAATCCAAACTGATACGAGAATGGCCAAAATAGTTATTTGCCATAGTAATAGGTATGAAGTTGTGAAGCGGGGGACAACCAGCATCTAAATGGGCTATATCCAAGGATATAGGGGTTACCCATTGCCATTCAAAATGTTATAGGAACTATTCAAGATGATCTAAGAAGTAATATCGGGATGCTTGAGAGTGTGGCCTTTATGAGAGTCATACAGCATCCCAGGGACAAGAATCAGCATTTCCAGGAAGTCAATGTCCTCTCAAATTTCTCAACCATATTATTCATTGGGCTTTCTTGGGTTTTTCTTAGCGAAGAGGATGCCCCAAGTACTTTTTTGGCAATGTGTCAGTACTAAACCCATCCAGTGTGTTAGGACCTCTAGATCACCCCCTTGCAAGGCTAAATCTTTATTACTTTTGGTCATGTTTTCTCAGAGCCCATTTATGATATCATAGCACCAAAGGAACAACCAGGGGGTGTCAATTTGTTGAAATTGGGCAGCACAAAGCACCAAAGTACCATCCGCGTTCCGTAGTTGGATATGTCAGGTTTTGAGCTGTACTGAACCCCAACAAGCATATACTCTTGAGATGGACCTTTTGAAACCATCAGCTAAGATGGCGAATTGGAAGGGCAAGAAGGGTTCACCTTGGCATTAACATCTTGAAGATTGAAGAAATTATGTAGGCTAGCATTAACAAGAATTAAGAAATATGTCCTAAGCCAGAGAAACTACAAATTATGTCCTTTTATCCGTATTTAAGCATGAGAAGTTACAATGTCATAGTGAGATGATTGTTCTTGCATGTGTACCCCACAAGTAAGTTACCAAACATAAGAAAATGAATACATGAGAAAAAACAAGCTTGATAATCACATTCCCTATTAATTGTTTTCATGGTAATTCAGTTTCATATAGCAAATTGTTTCACATTAGCAAATTATTTTTGTAGCTCACATAATTTGTCTTTTGAACTATATGTGTTTTACTAGTTGAATTGATGGAGTTTGCCAATTGGTGACGATATTTTTACTCTTTAAATGCAGTTTGATGCAACCACAACATTTTGTTCCCACCCTTTCGGATGGATCCCCTTTTTGTTATGGAGTTGCTCATTGGGAGAGCCCAACTCAGCATGCGATGCTTTCACTAAAGAGGGAGCAACACAAGACAGCAAACAAGGGATTTTTTTTCAGGCACCTTTTTGACCACATGGTCCCCCATTATTTGTATACTAACTTCTTGCTTATAATTTGAATGTAAAACATTTTTTGAGCCCCATTGCAGGTTTTTGTATAGAGTAATATATTTGTGGGTAAGGATCTACATTGTAACTACATATGGATGGATTAATAGGAACTTTTCTATCTTGGTGTACCGCCTTTTCAAGGGCATGTAAATGACATTAGCAACTTTTTTGTGCGCACATGCTCTTATAAGCGATATATAAGTGAATGTGTTTCGTGTACACTTCATCATAAGCATTTCTTCATGGACTTGTAGGGAATCTTTTGGCTTCCTTGCAATTTAAAATGCCTAGCCATTTACATGCCATCAAAGAAAAATGAGATAGATAAGGTTCATGTTTAGATAACACATGAGCTCACAAATTGGGAGCTTTATTTTCTAGTTTTGTACAATTAGACAACCCATAAGCTCATCAAGTTAGCCATGCAAATATGATCACTATTCACACTAGAAACAATTAAAAACGTGACATACCTTGCAATCTCTCTCTCTCTCTCTCTCTCTCTCTCTCTCTCTCTCTTTCTCTCATGCTATACTGTGTAATACAATGCTGCATTGCTGTTAAAAGTCACATTTTCACATCTGTCGATTTTCAATAAACAATAAAAAATTGTGCACAAATACTTGGGAATCAATCGTACTCATTGGGCAAAT